AACCTACGATCCAAACCCCACGAAGCGGAGGTGGTTTTGTTCATTTAGTTGCAGCTAAAAGCACCAAAAAACTCCAAGCCAACTGCACAATTCTATGTCCCACTTCTTCAGAGGCCACAGCGAGGTCACAGGAGCTGCCACCACTCAAGGACAATGGCCACCAGGAAATACAGCCTAACATCTTCTTGGCTGGCTGGTGAAGGATACTTAAAAGTAAATTAAAAACCACTAAAATGGCAAATGTGCTGGCTGAGAGGGCCCCTGCAGTCTTGAAAAACAAGAACCTCCCTTAGAAACAGCACTCCGGCCTCCTAATAACCTTAATCGCTCCCGACAGCCCCAAGAACCAGGTTTAACAACATGACTGGGCTTTGTTTGCTTTTCAGGCTGCTTTATCTCACACAGCACCTTGCAATCAGCTCAGGCAAAACCCCAGTTCCTCTAAAACTCCCCCATGTCCCTGCAGCCGCAAACTCCAGCTCCCAAAACAGAGGCTGGGGCAGAGCCTGGTGCTGGCACGCTGGCATCCCACCATGGGAAACCCCCAGTAAATCTGGGAAAGCTCTGTGCTGCCCTTTGCACTCCCCAGCTTGAAGGGCAAGGTAATAAAAACATCTTTATCTCTTTTTGCTGGATTTACATCCCCATCTGGGCTACATAAATATTGCCCATGTCAGTGCATCCCTGCGTGGGGTTAGAGGAGAATTGGGAGCCCGATGGACGTGGGAAAGGCCCCAGGAATGCTGAGGTTCACAGCACCCTTGGCCAATAAAGCTGTGAAACAGGCCCAGCACAGCACCCTGGTAATTAATAAAAGCTCCAAATCCTGCAGATTTGGGCAAGAAGGTGACAACCACAGTGTCACCTTCAGGAGATAGGAGCCTCCAAAATGGACAATGACCCCCTCATCCCAATTTAGTTGGGATCATTTCCAAGGATTACCTCTTGCAATCAAAGCAACATGGCCAACACGTTGAGGAAGGAGATTCTCCCCCTTCTCAAGGGAGCTGGATAGGGACAGGACACAGGGAATGGCTCCCCGCTGCCAGAGGGCAGGGTTAGACAGAATACTGGGAAGGAATTGTTCCCTGAGAGGGTGGGCAGGCCCTGGCACAGGGTGCCCAGAGCAGCTGTGTCTGCCCCTGGATCCCCGGCAGTGTCCAAGGCCAGGCTGGATGGGGCTTGGAGCAGCCTGGGACAGTGGAATGTGTCCCTGCCCATGGCAGGGGTGATTTTTAAGGTCCCTTCCAACCCAAAGCATTCTGTGATTTACCCTCACACTGCAATTTCTCTTCCCAGCTCCTAAAGCTCCAGCCACACTCACTCACCCACAGAATCTCCTTCAGCCCAGAGAGGAGCACAGGGCTTCTCCTCCCCCTCTTTCATATGACTGTTAGCATGAAATGCTTTATTTTCTCAAAAAAATCTTTGTTCTTTCTTACCAAACCTTCATTACAATGCTTCAGTAAAAACAGTATTTTCCACCTGTGCTCACCTGTCCTAAGGATGTGAAATCAGCACAAAGAAATTCCCCAGCAAAATGGGTGGGAATTCAGGAATAAGTGTGACATCAGCCCTGCCCTGGCCTCAGGATCTGGTCACTCAGGGGCTGTGGTCCATTCCAGCTTCCCTAAGCACAGGGAGCTCCAGCAGCCTCTGCTCCCCGTCTGGAGCTGGGCTATAGGGGGGAATCTGTTCCCCCAGTTCTTGCACACAGATCAGAGGATGCTGATGGACACAGAGATGGCCTGAGGAGCTGCAGCCAAACCAGACCAGCTCCTCAGGCCATCACTCCAAATGCTTTCAGTTCCATTTCCAGGCCCCAAACAATTAAATATTAAGCAAAGAGAGTTAATCTATACCTGGGATATTGACACAAAGCAGAGGAGGGGAGAAGAAAAAGATAAATAGACCTTTTTAAAAAAAAAACAACCAAAATGTGTGTGCCTCTGCAGGCTGTCCCACCAGGGCTTTCCAGACCTCAGGTACAGCACCAAGGACGTGTTTGGAGGAACAAGATGCACCAAGAAATGTCACTCTCCTGGCTCTGCCCAGGTAGCTGGAGCACCCTCTGGGACCCTCAGGTGGCTCCTTGGCTGGGGGCACAGCCCTGGTCAGGGACAAGGCCACCTGGTGATCCCCTCTCCCAAGGCTGGGGCAAGTCCAAGCAGAAGCAGAGCAGACACTGAGGTAAGGAAGGGCTTTTGGAGCTGAGGAGGATGAAGGTGCTTGGCTGGCTCATCTGGCCCTTGGCTCAGTGTCAGCCCTCACTGTGGGACAGCCACGGGTCTGTGGATCCCTCAGCACCGGAATGAGCCTTGTACAACCGGAGGCAAACGTCACCACTCGTCTCCCGGCAAACACCCTCAAGCATCACTCAACACCTCTCCAGCAAAGCTGGATTTTTTTTTTTTCCTGGCCGAGTGCTCACATGTATATTATTTTTTTTATTCCGGTCTCAGCATTCCTCCACTCCCCCCGCAAGAAAACAAACCCGAGAGCACAGAGTGTGCCTTGCAAAGGCCCCGGCGCGGCGTCCCGCGGGGAAGGGGCACGCGGTGGTCGCAGCAGCCCGCCCGCCCCAGCCCGCCGTGCTTGTTGACATAGGCAGCACAGTATATTTCTTTAAAGAGGGGAGCCTATGCATTCGATGCATTGCTGCCACGGGGTTTGTTTTCAAAGCCTGACCCCAGACCTGAACTCCACGGATCCTGCGTTCCTCAAGATCAAACGCAAGAAAACGTGACCAATGCAAACAAGAAATAAACCTTGATAATTATAGCCGGGGCGGCTATTGTTTGGTGCCGACTAGCACCCGCTTTAGCATAAACAGAACCCTATTTTTAAAGGGATGCCTGACCAGCTGACAGCATTTCTCCCCATTTTGCCTCCAAACCCCCTGTTTGATAGAAACCCACCTCCCTGAGACCCGGAGAAGGTTTAAGAGCACAGACAAAAGGCTGAGCCATGCCCACAGCCATACTGGAAGCTGCTGCTGGAGCAGGGAGCGGATCCTGGTCCTCCCAACCTGCTCCCTGTTGGCGGGGGATGAGGGGCTCCCTGGGGTCCGGCTGTTGCCTGCAGCTGGCGGGCTCAGAGTGACGTCGGAGGACAAACAGACAGCACCGGTCTTTTCAGGAAGGCCACATCACTTAGCGCTTGGAAAGGAGCTACGATATTTTCCTGATTATGTTTGCACGCAAACGAGCGCCGCGGGGAAATTATGCAACGCTGAGCGGGGAGGGGTGGGAGCGAGGGAGGAAGGGCTGGAGGGGGCTCCGGGCTGCACCCCGCTGCCCTCAGCCCCAGCCAGTGCAGCTGCAGCCCCGGAGGTGCCGCAGATGGATCCGCCACCGCCGCCGGAGCCTCGGCACCACAACCTGGGAGCCGCCACTCAGTTATTAACGGCCTCTTCATTAAGCACCCAGACCAAAATGCAGATATTCGTCACCCAGGCAATTTAATTACCCAGCCTGGGTTCACCTCGCACACCCACACGCCTTTCTTTTTCGAGGCCTCTGTGCGGTCATAGCCTTAAATAAATAGATGGCAGGAGCAAGAGGCAGATGCTGACTCCTACAACCTCTGTCTTGGGCACAGAGCCTTTAAACCACCAGAACTTGCAGTATTTAATTTCTTTTGTTACCGCTTCTACCTTTAGAGCCCTGCCTTAGGCTTTCTAGATACAATCACAGGCAGCAGGAAACAGAGAGCTACACTATGAGCTTCCTGGGCATCACATGCGCTCACACACAACACACACACACTCCCAGCCCATCAATCACCCTAATTACAACTGGCCACACGTCCGCAGCTCGCTGTGGCACTCCGTTAGTGCCCGTAATTACACGGTCCCATCGCTTCCCTGGTAAGAGTATCACGGAGTTAATTTGGGATTCTACATGTGGTGGATCCCGTAATGAATTTCATCCTGGCGCGCTCCCCGCCGCACTCGCCGGCCATGCGCCAGCTGAGGGAGGGAGCGCGGGCAGCGCTGCTCCCCAAAACAAGGCTCCAAGGTCCTTACACAGCCCTGGCACTCATCTCTCCTCAGCACACTCCTGGCTGCTGCCCACGTCCCACCCCGAGTCCCACCTCAGCACCACAGGCAGGTACCATCAGCACCAAGTGCTCGTCTCCACCTGGCAGATGAGAGCAAGGTGGGCCACGGGTGTCCACCACGAGGATGGATGTGATCTTCCAGGGGGGACAGCAGGACCTGGGATAAGGCTGGGCCTCCCAACACCAGTGTCCAGCTGGGACCACCGCGCCAGCAGGCTGGTGTCCCTCTGCCAAGTCTGCTTCAACAGCAGGGTCTTGGCAGCAAGGAACACCCCTTTTCTCCATATTAACCCTACCCAGTCTGCACCCTGGCCGGGCCTGTCGGTCCTACCAAAACACACAGCTGGCTGCAGTCCATGGATCCTGCTTTTCAGGGATGTGAAGTGCTGGAGACCCCGCGCTGCCCTCGGAGTGACCGCGCAGGTGGCGCTGCCAGCCCTGCCCTGTGCCGGCCGTCCCACTGAATGGACGCGGCTCGCAGGGAGCGTGGCAGCAGGGCAGATGCTCTCCTGGAGCCACCCCCGGCCAACAAGGCAGACAGATAAAAAGCTTGAAAACCCATAAAATAGAACAATAATAAAGAAAACTAGAGGGGGTGGCTCACACCCAGAAGCTGATTCACCAGCGCTGCTCTGCTTTACCCCAAGCACACCGGCAGGACAAGCTAAGGGCGTGTTTTCAGCCGAATTACTTTTAATTGAGTACATCGGAGCTTAGAAACACATGATGCTGTCAGAGATAAATATAGCCACGGCTACGAGGATAGAGGGGGCAGGGAGCAATCGAGGTTCCACACAGCCGAGAAGGAGCTTCCAGCTCCGGGAGGCAGCGCGGCCGCGCCGCCGCACCTCTCCCCGCTCCGCTCGGGCATCCCCGCTCCGCTCGGGCACCCGCCGCACGCACTGCCCGGCCCGGGGAAGGGGCCGCGGAGCCCATACCTGTTTTAAACTCTAGCGCTGGATCCTTCTCCCCCTCGCCCAGGTCGCTCTGCAGCATCATGTAGAGGATCCCGAAGGAGTTGTGGATGCCGAAGATGGAGCCGTTGCACCAGGCGGCGGCGAAGACCACCACCCAGCCGAAGCCGCCCTCGGGGGGCTCGAAGGGCGCGGCGACCCCGCTCTGTCCCCGCTCAGCCGCGGCCCCGGCTCCGGCCCCGGCCCCGGCCCCGGCCCCAGCCCCGGC